AGTTCAAGCCTTGGTGAATGAGATTGTATGTGCTACCACTTCTGATTTTTGCTTTATAGCCAAAAAATTGAGAATTTTAAAATTTTGCCTATTAAATTATTATGATGGCAAAAAATGTAAAATTTCATGTTCTCTTATACAAAAAATAAACTATACCACTAGAAAGAGCGCAAAAAACTATGTATAAGATAATTAAGCGACAAGTGCGATTTTCAAGCCGATTTTGAATTAAAGATGGTTAAACTTGGCAAAATCTTCCTTTTTTTTTTACTAATTAGCATTAATTTGGTCATTTCTGCATTTTTTAACATTAAAAACTCGAAATAGGTTTGGAAAAACGTAGAACTCACTTAATTGCCTGATATATAGTTTTTTACGCTCTTTCTAGTGGTATAGTTTATTTTTCGGATAAGAGAACATGAAATTTTACATTTTTTCCGATCATAGTAATTTAATACGCAAAATTTAAAAATTCTCAAATTTTTGGCTATAAAGCAAAAATCAGAAGTGGTAACACATATAGTCTTAATTGTTCTTGTTTGTGGAAACACCACGTAAATTTATTACTGCAAAGCTTTCGATCCGTAAGCCCGGATCTTCATCAGTGCCAATAATATGTATAGAGCACTATATTAGGACTGATGAAGATCCGGGCTTACGGATCGAAAGCTTTGCAGTAATAAATTTACGTGGTGTTTCCACAATTATATTTTATCGCCATGCAAACATTCAAAGAACTTACATATAGTCCTGTTCACCAAGGCTTGAACTATAAGAAAATGCCTGTTACCAGCTTCTAACATAAAGTTGCCATCCAGTTATACAAATTGATGACTTGGCCGGCCGTCTATTACATATTGTTCAGTTTTGAACCTAGTCAACTTTTTAACTGACGAAGACCTAAGTCACTGGTCGAAACGTCTTAACATCTTTTTAAATAAACGTAGCTTTTAACGTTTTTATCAAACCAGTGTCAAACCTTTCTACATCTCAATAATATTATATATATATATATATATATATATATATATATATATATATATATATATATATATATATATATATATATATATATATATATATATATATATATATGTGTCTTTTCCAACAAACTAAAAATGGCTTCCGCAAGAGATTTAAAAGCTTTAATCGAATTTTGAGTTGATGCATGGGTGTTTAATTGCTTCTGTAATCACGAAATTTCTGACAATTTGCTTCATTTTAAGCCTTTAACTATTGACGCAAACTTACATCTTTTCCTAAAAATTCAGCTTTTTGCATGCTTAATTAATGCATTTACCTCATTTGCATATGTCTGTAATATGCAAATTAGGTAAAGGCATGCAAATTGGGTAAAGGTTTTAAGCAAATTAGGTAATGGTATAATATGCAAATTAGGTAAAGGTATTAAGCATGCGGAAGACTGACTTTGTAGGGAAAAATGAGTAGGCAAGGCAAATTGTCTGACATTTTACACGGTGATTAAAAACCCAACAAATTTTCCATCCACTAACTCAAAATACGATTAAAGCTTTTAAATTTCATGCGCAAGCCATTTTTGATTTGTTGGAAAAGAAACACCCCTAGTTTACACAATTTGAGTTCGAGTATTTTTTCCATTATTCTACATTATGGGTGCTCAACGAATCTTTATATAACAAAAACGTGATACCATGAGCAGTTTTGCGAAATTGGGTTTCTTTTATACACCCTGCAGAATTACATTGATAAAGTGGAACCCAAATTAAGCCACCACCTATGGGACCTTGACAATGTCAGGTGTCCAGTTAATTGAGGTTTGCAACTTCATGCATCTGAGTCACTGTTGAAGTTGTAGTTCAGATTTTTATAGAAAATAAAATGTTGTTCAGAAAGCTTCCACGAAATTTAATGCCTTTTTTCCTATTTTTGCCTGACTATAAACTATTGCCTCGAAAAAAATCGCAAAATTTGATAGCCTACGCGCAAAATTAAGTACGATTATTTTTTGTTTCCAGAGCTTAGTATATATAAAGACATACTTGATATGGGACACTGGAGTTTTCCCCGTAATTTTCTGATCAAATGCTTGAATGTATAACGCGTGCAGGAAAACGGGAGGGAGTTGTGATACTTTACTATTAATGAATTACTTTCGTTAATAATTTGTGACGTTAAATATTATGTCTTTGATTACAAAATTAATAAACCGCGGCACGGGCATTATATATGCAATACGCGCACATTGCCATAATTATTCCAAGTGGAAGTAAAGCGCATGCAGAGGAAACAGAGCTCATCGTGACAAGATATAATATCCCCCAGATATGGTGTTAATTAAAGAAGGCGATAAAAGTATTAACTATATAATTATACGTTTTCATCATCCGTTTGGTAGTTAAATAGTCGTTAACGCACAACATAGACAATCGAGACATTTTCAGAAAACTCGGCGAATTAATTCAAAGCGTTCATAATGAGTTACGATTTTATGTTGAGACAGACTTACCGTCAAAAATCATTCGAAATTTTGGTTATTAATATTTCAACAGTTGGGTTGAATTGATTATTGAATGATTATAATTGTATAGTTAACTTTCACTACCTTTTTTAGCCTGCGTAGCAGGCGGTATTCGCGGGCACGAGAGAAGGGAAGCTAGAATACCGCCTGTCCAAAAACTACACATTCTGAGTTCTCCCCGTCAGCTGGGTGCCGGATCATTCTGATTGGTCAAAACGTTGATTTTGAATTTTTGATTGACACGAGTAAAGAATTAGAATAATTAGTGCTAATTTTAGAAGTTACTGCACAGGCGGCCCAATCTCGCAAGCGTCAGTATAGACTTATAGTATAAATGTATATTATATTAATGTATATTATAGTAAAAATATGTCGTAAAATATAAATTTTAAAAAGAAATTGACTTGCCTATTTGATAGTGTGTGTTCTCCTTTTTTTCCTCCTTTGTTGGACCAATATTTTCCGAGACTTTGTACTCGATGTTACTAGTATACATAAAACATGATAAAGGCTAACGATTCCCGATCGTCGATACGACGGCACGGCACTTCGAATCGAAAATTCTCACACTCAAATCGCTTTATTCTCAAAAAAAAATTCGCCAGCATGTACAACAAATGCCGTTCTTCGAAAATACCGAGGTATTTCGGCGAGATGCACAAGTTTTGGACCATATTTTAACAATGGAAATCAAAACCCATTTTATATTGAACTTACCCGGACCGAAAATTACCACGGCGAACGTCTGCGCAGCCAGGCCTCCTTTACCGTTGGATTTACAGGGGGGAAGCAGATATTTCCGGTAACAGCCAGCCAATCGCGGCCGCGTATCGACTGTTTACATTATTTGAAATTTGATATTCAAAATAAAATCTCCTTCGATCGGATACTGTATAAAACTAGAGATGTTGTCGAAGAAAAGAAAATTAAACGACGGAGATTGAAGAAATTTGAGGAAGAAGTAATATACAGCGGCTCTTTGTTGGAAAGTATGGTAGAATATGATACTTTAATTCGAAATATTATCGTGAATATATTAGTGGCATCCTCACCCCTGGTTGCGCAGACGTTCGCCGTAGTAATTTTCGGTCCGGGTAAGTTCAATATAAAATGGGTTTTGATTTCCATTGTTAAAATATGGTCCAAAACTTGTACATCTCGCCGAAATACCTCTGTATTTTCGAAGAACGGCATTTGTTGTACATGCTGGCGAATTTTTTTTGAGAATAAAGCGATTTGAGTGTGAGAATTTTCGATTCGAAGTGCCGTGCCGTCGTATCGACGATCGGGAATCGTTAGCCTTTATCATGTTTCATGTATACTAGTAACATCGAGTACACATCTCGAAAAATATTAGTCCAACAAAGGAGGAATAAAAGGAGAACACACACTATCAAATAGGCAAGTCAATTTCATTTCAAAATTTATATTTTACGACATATTTTTACTGTAATATACATTAATTATAATATACATTTATACTATAAGTCTATACTGACCCTTGCGAGATTGGGCCGCCTGTGCTTACTGTTGCCGTATTTATAATTTAAACTATTGTTGTTTTCGTAATTGATACCGATATATCAAGTGATGGCATACACTAACCATTAATTGAGAATTAAGCGTTGAATTCTTTAATCTTTATCTCGAATCGGTAATCGCATCGTCTTGAAGAATGAACAACAAATATCAATCCAACATTTGTTGCTAGTGCTTGATAGAGATGTGTTACCGTGATGAAACTAAAAGTGCAGACTTGAAGGTACAGGCTCGTAAATGACACTCTAAGTAGTGTTTTTGATAGTGATTGGAACAAGACTATTACAAAGAAGTAACGTCCGAAGGGGCCGAAGTTATGTTCGGCGAAAGGTATGGCTAGTCTATATTTTTGTTCAGACAATTGCGTAATTTGAGAATATACGAACTCGCTTGAATTTCAAAGCTCATAAATCGCTATAATGTTGACATCGACTAAAACTATCGCTATGAACGAGGACATATTGTTACACTGAATCGAACGTGATATTTTTGTCTTCATAGCATTGAATGAACCGAAGATACGAAACGTCAAAGCCGTATATTACTATATTTGCACTGGTGCAATACGTGAGTTTGACAAATAAATACATTAAGATGGGCCGGACCATGCGTTCGATGGGCGGAACTCAGAATGTGTAGTTTTTGGGCAGGCGGTATTTCTAGCTTCTACCGCCTGCTACGCAGGATACCTTTTTTATATACAGCCGGCCCACGGTAGCTAATAGTCAAATACAAAGTTCTCCCTCGAATGTCAAATTAAATTATTCTAAAGGCTTCTTGGCCGCGTAAATCCCTCATGTTCTAACAGTGAAGTAGAAGCTGTGGGTAGGAACACCGCCACACCCAACGGTTGACGTCAAAAACTGCAAATTAGTAAAACTAGCCTTGTACAAACATGGACCACATTACTTAGAACAGTACCGACGCGAGAGTCTTGTTTCAGTGTTTGCGATGAACTTACCTACGTAACAACCTACAAGCTCCGCTCTCATCCCTGCAGTCGCCAATTCCCACTGTGTCGGTTTTAGTCGAATGAAACGAGCATAAATTACACGAGTTAAACGCTGTTTGACTGTAGTCTCCATATCGTAGTTAGCAGTAAACACCTAGAAAAGAGATCATTGGTGTATGGATAAAATCGCCGACATTTATGTTTAAGGAAAAAGGTAAACAACTCATTAATAACTAAATCATTTTATTCATTCAACTCATTAAATATAAATCGTTTTCGAGACTCTGCAGTTCATTTGATGTAAGCCACTGAGTCTATAATTATACTCACCAGTAAGGACAGCATAATAGTCTGCCAAGATATCATGGAATACATGGAATAAATAATTATACGCTTATTCGTGTAAAATTCATCATGAGATATTTACTTTTACCAGTTGATTTATATAGAGATTATATGCAGTTTGTTATAATTCTAGTCTCACTAATGTAAATAAAATATAAACAAATGAAGACAAAATGTGAAAATATTCGAAGACAGTAAAACAGAATATAATTATACATTTGTCAGAGTGCTCAATGGATATCCAGAGTATAACTATTAGATAAGTGCAACGACTCAACAAATTTTACTAGGCATCCGGCTTTATTACTATTAGTTTCGTCCCACAAGATGTGGCACCCATCAGATAACTTATTGTTGAGTCGTTGCACTTATCATATATATTCGTTTTACCTCAAAATAATATGTATATATATATACCAAACATGTATTTAGAATCATATATGAGTAGAGTGCTCGATATACTGAAGAATAGAGCTAATAAAGATAAAGATAAAGATAAAGTTAAAATAAACCTTGTTTACGAATACTTCATAAGATTTTAGCACAAACGTTTTGTTTGAAACAAGTTAACTTTGTAGTGAATAAAATCTTATGAAGTATCTTTATTTATATATAGAAGTATATTTATGTACTGTTTAATAAACGAGTAGGAGTGTTTTATCACATATAAAACACGACGCGTAGCGGAATGTTTTATATATGTGATAAAACACGAACTACGAGTAAAAATAAAAAAAGAAAATAAGAGAATTAAGAGAAAATACAAGAATTAACTGAGAAAATACAAGTTGAAATTTGAAGCGTGTTTTACCACATATAAAGACACGCCACGCTTATGATTTCTCTTTGTGTTTTTCTCATGAATTATTAATGCCTTTTTGAACTATATATAATATTTTTGAACTATATATATATATATATATATATATATATATATATATATATATATATATATATATATATATAATCCGTCTGACCGTGTAGCTCAGTTGGTAGAGCGTCGATCTAGTAATTCGAAGGTCGCGGGTTCAAGACCCAGCCGCGGCAGACAACATCGTTCTGTTTGCGCTCGGGCGCTGAATTTTGGACAAGGCACGTGAACAGCCGCTACCAGGGTCTTTCCTGAAGACCCTGGGAACGAGGTTGGTACTCAGTTGGTAGAGCATCGATCTAGTAATTCGAAGTTCACGGATTTGCAACCCAGCCACGCCGGACAGAGCTTTCTGCTTGCGCGCTGTGGGAAAATTATGATGTTTCTCACTCGAGAAAATGTTCTCCTTATATACATATACATAGCGGTTGATGGGAGCAGACAGTTCTTTTTTGTTTACCTTAACAATTCCAAATTCCTCGTACTCCTGAAAATTTTCATTATTGTTGCCGTAGGATACCGTGAACTTGTGCACAAAATTTGCAGTAGTCGTTTGAAGACCCTGGGTTATAATAGCGGTGACTTTTGCATATTGGAGAAAATCTACTTGAAGCCATGGATAAAGGTCGTTACCACCTGCGAGCCAACCTCCCTCATATGTAGACGTTTTTTGTAAGTTTAATCTGGCTAAGGGAGGAGAATTTCTAAAATTGGCTGTAGAAGAAGCTGTGACTTGACTGTGAAGAATAGCGCCATTCTCCATACCCAATGATGTTGCATTTTCACAACCTGAAAAAGAAAGGTCACTGCTGGGAAGAGCTTGTACAACAAGACACTCTATTAAGCGTTAGTCACTGGGGCTATTGCATAAACGGTGATCTGGAAAGCTAGACCGATCCAAATTGAGATTCATAAAACATATTAAGTTGTTTTATTGGTGTGAGACCTTACACGCTGGTCATATTCAGCAAATTTTCTCCCAGTGCCGCAGGCTTGCATTTTCAGCGGACTTGCGGTGAAAAATTGAAACTTTTGCATTTTCAAAGAACTGCCACTTTTTGTAAGATGTCCGCTGACAATACGAGCCCGCACAAGTGGGAGAAATTTTGCTAAATTTGACCAACGTGTTAAAATGGATGGTTTGTCAGAAATGGGTTTCAAAAGAATTAGTTTATTTTAATAGGAAATAGTTTCTTTAAAGGCCATGTAAAATCCGTAATGTAAACAAACGCTTTTTTTTACATTTTGAATTCAGTGCTATAGTTGTAGATTAATAGATATAAATTATACTGAATTTTTGACGCTCTTCTGCATGTTTCGCTATGCTTGTAAATGAATGCAGACTAGACATTCGATTCAAGAAAGTTTGGAAGGTGCGAAATATTAATAACATTCCAATGGTCGGGTTCCGACCATTGTAATGTAAGCCATGCGCAGAACGTTTTCAGAACCATAAAACTAATTCCAAATCAAGAAATAAAACTGTTTTCGGGCGGCGCAGTGTTTCTTGCACGCACAAGATTTATTGCTTAATACAAAGTTGTTTACTCGACCAATATATAAGGAGATTTTACAGTATATAAGAATTTTTTTCCAGAATCTAAGGAATTCGTAACAATAATCTGTGCAGCTACAAATTTCGAAATTAATTCGCAATTACGCTTCTCTATAATTTGCCAAAATTAGCTAATGCTATTAACCAATTCGAACACTGAAAACTTGGACCCAAACGCATGGGACCGTTCCTGTGAATATTGAAAAATTAATGCACATCCCCTTCTCCCCCGATTCGATGCTGTAAACATCCCGAAACAACATTTAATGAGGATTGTTTGCTTATAATTTAATGTAACATAAATATATGTTATTTATTCACCGGCTGCGAGGTCCAGATGAGAAAAACTGTGTCCTCGGTCTTGAAAACGTCCATCTCCCTACATAACTGCCCTGATTTTAAATTAGTTCGAATGCAACACTGGAATTTTATTATTTTAATGAATTTAATTTTACATTCGCTGCCGGTAAATAACGTGTTTATTTTTTAACAAATGTAAAATTAAATTCATTAAAATTCCAGTGTTGCATGCAAACTACTGTAATTTAACATCAGTGCGTTTGTGTACCATGCATGAGCACGAATTAAAACTCGAGGAAACTGGCAAGAAACACAAAAAACATATAGATTGAGCAAAAATGTACATATAGACCTTATATATAAATCGTGATGAGGTCACGTATCCTAGGAAACGGGAATAAACGCGGGAAAATTGAGGAAATGTTTTTTTGCTGTCGGCTATGGCAGCTTTTTTTCGAAAATATTACGCTTTTTTTTAATATAATACTGCCACTTCTGGTGCACATTGTGCTTAGTATAAATTGTTTATGGCTTGATCATGATGTAATCCATTTTCGTATTCTGACCAGGGCCGTTCCTAGCCCGATAATTAGGGGGTTGTATATTCATATATTCGTGTTCTGCCCGGCGGATTTCTTTTGAAAGCGATGGTTTTTACGGTATGTGAACATGAATATATAAAATATTATACACCCTCCCCACCCCCCATTTACCAGTCTTGGAACGGCCCCGATTCTGACTATCGTTAGGCTACGTTTTCGGCAGATTTTCCAGATTTTTAGTCCCTCTGTTTTTGGCGCAAAAATTAGAGGGGACATGAATTGCATTTCACAGCGGGCAGTTGCGTTTCAGAGCGGGCCTTAACCAATCAGATTACTTTATTTTCACTGATAAAAAAATTCGATATTTTTCACATTAATTTCTCAAAAAGTCAAAAAGAATATTATATTTATACTTTGTAAAACTGCTAGTCTTGTATACAACACGGCAGTGATTACTTTGGTTGAAATTAATTTCAGAAAAAAATTAATGAGAACTGTTTTTCGCCTCCGTCCATATGGTGTCAGTTAGAAATTCCTAATTTGTATTATACCGAATATTGTTTGTGGTTTTTGGACCACCAGGCCACAGAGTAGAGACATACAGAGACGTAACTAGTGTACCCACTTTTTTGTGCGCATGCTCGGCAAGTTACTAGATGCATGCATCTGATTGGATGACGACCTGATGACGACTCACTTTAAACTTGCTGAGCACGCGCAGTTGATCATTTTTCGCCCGGTCGCCTGAAAAAAAGTGGGTACATGATAACGCAATCTTCCGCAGTGTTTACAACGGTCAGTTACGTCTCTGTATGTCTTATCTACTCTGTGACCAAGCGCAGGAAATAGTGGCGATGAATTTCTTCACTCGCTTAAGCCAAGTTATACAGTACTGCTCAGAAATAACCTAACAGAAAACACGTTCGGAATTCGTTCCAAAATGCGTTCTATTCGCGTTCCTAAAAGCGGTTGTGAAAGTGATATTTTTAGGGGATTTTTCAATTGTAAAGATATTCTTAGTAAAATTATCGTGATACCATAACAACCACTTTAGATACTTTATGTTCGAAAAATAAAATGGTTTTGTCAGTAAGGCGAAGGTTTCTGCATGTATAGTGTATTTTCTAGTCAATAGACCAAGGCGATTGTGTTGTTCGACGTGTACGTAAGCATGTATTTCCAGTAATGTATATGATTAGTTTAATTAATAATGATTCAAGTTTTTGAAACAAGTGCACTGGGTTATTTCGGGTAGCCAGTACATATATTTGATATATTATACTAAGTGAATTGTAATAGTGTAATAGTATTTTTCTTTGGGGTACAAATAAATTGTTGTTGTTGTTGTTGTCGTTGTCGTTGTCGTTGTCGTTGTCGTTGTCGTTGTCGTTGTCGTTGTCGTTGTCGTTGCCGTTGCCGTTGCCGTTGCCGTTGCCGTTGCCGTTGCCGCTGCCGCTGCCGCTGTTGCTGTTGCTGTTGCTGTTGCTGTTGCTGTTGCTGTTGCTGTTGCTGTTGCTGTTGCTGTTGCTGTTGCTGTTGCTGTTGCTGTTGCTGTTGCTGTTGTTGTTGTTGTTGTTGTTGTTGTTGTTGTTGTTGTTGTTGTTGTTGTTGTTGTTGTTGTTGTTGGGTCTTCGCATACGATTGTCATTTTAGGATATGAAAACTATTGCTGACGTCACAATTCCACACGTATTTCAACCTACAAGAGATTGCTCTATTGGCCGCCATGTTGGTTTCAGTCAATCATAGGGACTTTTATTTATAGAGTTGGCAGGAATGTATTTATAGAGTTGGCAGGAATACATACCTTCATAACAACCGTGAAATTCGGCACGCAGTGCACAACTTCCGGACCATTGCTTGGAATGAAGACGAATGTAACGAGCAAAAATTGGTGGGTCAAGATATTGTTTAACAGTAGAATTACTGTCGAAGTTAGCAGAGAAAACCTGTCGGGAAATAGAATAATAAATAATAGTTGTATTATGGAAAAGCTTAATTACCTTTTCGAGTTTGATGACGTGAGAGACTAGAAATTTTTATTTTGAAATCTTATATAAGAGTTTGAGAAAACGTCGACTTGCCCTCAATGGTATGGGGATGCATATACTGTTGGCAAAACGATAAAAAAGCTCTGGAACAACTGTTTCCATATTTGGAACTAATTTAGAAAACCCAGCTTTGCAGAGTATTGCACTTCATTAATGTGATGTTGTCAAAGTAAATGATCAAGTGAACTGAGGTCAACTGAAACAACAAAGAAACGAAATCAACGCATCTTATGTAGATGTGTTCTCCGGCTATTATAAAAGTCAACAATATAAAAGCCATCCTTTATCTTTGAGATAAACCTTTGACTCCCGCGTACCATCACATGAAACCCGAGAATATAAGAGTTTCGACTTTTGGACTTTTGAGCTCTGGGGCCAGTTATTCAAAAGTCAGTTAATTTTGGATTAACAAAATCTTCAAATAATCTTCCCAACGACTTATTTATAAACAAGGAAATATTTTCCCAGAAATCTTGTCTCGATCAATAGAAGTTTTATTTTCTGAAGTTTTGAAATAAACACGAAGACACAAACCAAAACAGCAGCTTAAATTTTAACCCAGGGTTAGCGTTAATCCAGCTTTGATCAACCAGCCCCTGAAGTTTGGAAAATTACACGACGCACTGAAGACACAAAACCAAATCAATGGGTTAAAAACTTTAACGGCAGGATTAGCTCTAACTTAGCTTCGAACAACCGGCCACTGAATAAAAGTTGTGGATAAAACTCATTAAAATATTGAAATAAAGCCATCAAATACAAAAAAGGACGTTTGAAAACTTTTAAAACCATGATATAAGCATAATCGGTTATAGGCCTTATACAAAATAATTTGCCCAAGGATCTTCAGGAGAAATTGGTATAGACAATGAAAATGCTCCGTCATGCAGCAACTCAATTCATCACCGTTCGTCGTGGAAAATAACTTTTAATTTACGATCTACTGATACGAAAACAGGTTTATAGTCATGCTTGAGGAACACATTTTCTCAACCCCTCCGACACAGCTCAATGGCAGACATCAGTTCCCACCTGGTAAATATTCAACTTCAACTTTTATTATTAAAATTAATAAGTATATATTTAACAGCCATTTACCCTCCCACATTTAGCAATAGCTATTCGAGGTGGGGGGTTAAGATTTCATACAGTTAAGGAAAAAAAAAAAAAAGAAATCAGGCTCCATGGCAGAACTGAATGCCATGGTGCTGCAACTCCGCAAGGTTTTCCAACAGTGTAGGTGCGCTTCACTCAAGATTTATACAACAGGGAAACGCTTGGTGGTCAACTTTACACATATTGCCGCTTCATGCCTGGCGGAAGCAAGTAAATTTCGTTAAACTGCATATATTTGATACCAAACACAAGATCAATACTTATAAAATGAATATTTAACTCGATCCAATAAATGTGGTTCCATTTAGAGTTGACCACGAAGCGTATCAGGTGAATGAAACCCGCCTATAGATCATAAATTAAAATTCACTTTCCACGATTAACGATATTTAACTAACCTTAACTTGTCCATTCTCTTCATACGTATCAAAAGTTACTCCATCAATACTATACGACACTTCATAACTGGTGACCCACTCAGGTTCATCATATCGACCCTGGGTAGTAATTCCTCTTACAGTTGCATTGGACTTAAAATCAACTTTAAGCCAAGGATTCCCGTCACCAGCTGAAGCCATCCATGCACCGACTCTTTCACCATTTACCGGCTTCAGCCTGAGTCTAGCATTTCTAGCTCGTGTTGTTTCATCTTTCTCGGATGACGACTTTAACTGAGAATTCACGATTAAGTTACTCTCCAAACCAAGCGGAATTGGGTCGACACAGTCATATTCTAAATAAGAAGTAACATTAAGTTGGCTCAATACACTTTTTAGCCAAAGGAGCAAAAGTTGAATATTTTCTGTTTAAATGCTTTTACAGGGTTAAGTTTTACTTATAATTGTAACACACAGTAAGACGTGTCGCAAACAAGAAGAATTCTGATAAAAGTCGCGTTTCCATGACAACTATAACGAATAATGGTAACACTAAATAGCCGAAAATATCGCAGTTTTTCGAGTTTTTTCAAAAATAAGTTTGGTGACGCAAATTTTTTTTTAATAAATCAGTTACGTTAGTGTCGAGAAACATTTCTGGGAAGTTTAAAAAAAATCTGTCGACTCAATTCTTCAGAATTAAATTTCAACTTTTTTGACAGTTTCTGTTATTTTTCCATCATGAAATCTTGAAGTATGTATCTACTCATGTACAAATTTTCAGGGTACCTTACCGAACTCGTTTTGGAAATAACCACGGTTTTATTCCGCGCGCCCAAAGTTTTTCACACTCTGCAAGATCAATGAATTGACATGCGCGTACATGTTTTCGCAGACGCATCTCCAGAAAAATACGCACAAAATAGTTTTTAATCTCGTGGAAATATCAAATATATATTGTGTTTTCTTGCTTAGAAATGCAAATATATTTAGTTTTGCATGCTAACTCGGGATAACGCCAAGAAAACAGGTGATTGTCGGTCGCTTGGTATAAGATATGTGTGACATGTATGAACTTCTTGGCTTTTCTACATAGTTTTATATTCGTTTTCAGTCGTAACTTGTGTGTTTTCATGTTGTTGTTGACAAGTTAAAACAGTTTGAGCCGGCGCATGATGCTGTTTCACCGAATTCCGTTGCTGTTAGTAACACTTTGAACACATTTACCAGTTGTAAGTACAAAAAAACTCTGGATATGAACTTATAAATCTCCAAATATTGGAGTAAAAAACTTTTCGCCAGTCGGGCCGATCGCCGGTTTTCACAAGAGTTTGAACGCTGAACATTGCATTTTTTACCTTAAAATATCTTCCAAAAAGACTAGTTATTCAATGTTCAGAGCTAAATCAGGACGAAGTTTGTTCTCTGAGAACAAATGAGAACAAGGAAGACACAAAATATCAAAATAAACATGACTTGTGGTTCGGACTTTAGACTGAAAAAGTTGTATTTATTTTTGCATATATTTTTAACATTTTCGCGCGAAAACTCAAAATTAAGTACCAGTCCCCCAACGATGAAAAGTGTATGGAGCCACCTTAAAGTAAAAAATAAAGCACGCTGTCGAATGGGATCAAAAGCATGCGCGTATGGTGGAATACTTTTGTGGAACAGCTAGTACGGTTTTTTATAGAAAGGTTGTTGTAGACGGAAATTGCGAGTATGATTTTTATACAATAATTAGACCAGACCAAGAGCAGTTGCGAAAAATACTATAGGTCCTGAGGTGGAAATCGAACCTGCTACCCCCCGATTCCGGCGTGGTGCTCTAACCAACTGAGCTACGAGCTCTAACCGCAACTTCAAGTACATATACAAAATTATCTATATTTTTTGTATGCAGTAAAGCTTGATGCTGCTCAGAGACGTCGCCCCCAATAATTCAAAACGTTGGTCAAAGTTGGTCAAAATGGAACGTATTTGTTTAAAGTTGAAGGTCAAAGTTGGTAAAATTTGGTCAAAGTCTGAGATAAAAGATGCTCAAAGTTGCTCAAAGTTATGAAATCACGTTCGCAATTTTAACAATTTTTAAGCGTTGGGTGTGTTTGCCCGGAAAAATTGTAAGCCTTGCTTATGTTGATCGAAAATAATTTGAAGGTTTGGTTTGTTAGTTCGGGAAACTTTTTGACAACCCTCCCCCCCCCCCCGTCGACAACATTTTCGGGAAACACTTCTACGATTTTGTCAAAATTCTAGGAAAAGAATTTCTAGGATATAACGCAATACAGAATTAATCGCTTGTCAGAACATCGAATTTAACGGTTCTTCAAAAACTTAATTAATTTTAATTAATTCTTAAAAAAAATAGTAATTCATGAGGAAAATAAAAATAAATTTTTCTTTGTATTTTCCTCATGAATCGTTAATTAATCCGATTACAAAATCATGTCGTATCTATATATGTGATCACAGTTATTTTAATAGATGGTTTAGAGACTCGATGAAAGTACAATATAACTCATTAATTATGTTATTGTCCAGCTTTATGCAAGAATTTGGTCCTATCTCGTCACGTGTGTATTGTATTTTCGCTCAAATAACCAATAACAAGTTTGTGGTTGAGTTATCCATCCGTAACTTGAACAAATGCTCAATTTAAACATTGTTATTGGTTATGCGGGAAAAGTCCAAATTCTTGCATAAACCGGAACCAACACAATCTCGTTCCCCGAGCATGCCCATTCGCAGGTTAAGGGTGGGCATAGCTCTGGAGAAATCGAATTGATTCAGGCCTGTGATTGGCTAACGACAGATAGTACGTTGGATTTCCAACGTGAGTTCTATATAAACAAAGTATTTGGAATTTCTCGTCGAAAATTTGATACTTTTTACACTGAAATCGATTGAAAACAACTAGAAATTCTGGAGGAAATATGTACGAAAGCTGCGGATTGACAGGGATACAACTACCTGAAAAATACAAGGAGAACTTCGACGTTTCGACTACTTTCGAGCGAAGGCGCTTCGACTTGTGCTGTTAATGTTTGTATACATCGTACTTGACCTTTTATATACTGTCATACCTAACACTACGTATACCATAAATTCTGACAGAAGAGTTAAATGTAAATTTTAAAGCATAAAAATATATAATACTTATTATTGAGGAGATTATATGTATCAGCAAAGGTCAAGTACGATGTATACAAACACTAAACAGCACAGGTCGAAGCGCCTTCGCTCGAAAAGTCGAAGTTCTCCTTGTATTTTTCAGGTAGCTGTATCCCTATCCAACCGAAGCTTTCGTACATATTTCCCCCAGAATTTTTAGTTGTTTTCAATTCAATTTCAGTGTAAAATGTATCAAACTTTCGACGCGAAATTCTAAATACTTTATTTACATTTTGCAACATTGCCGAGCATGCGTAGAACTCACGTTGGAAATTCAACGTGAATCGATTCGATTTCTCCAGAGCTATGCCCACCCTTAACCTGCGAACGGGCATGCTCGGGGAACGAGATTGGAACCAACATAGTTAATGAGTTGATTGTACTTTCATCGAGTCTCCAAACCATGTATTCTATTAACTGTGATGTGATAGAGGTTTCCATTGATTTACATAAACTTTAACTTTGATTTTCTCCGGATACACAACGTATTTTTCGAAAATTACCTCTTCGCCAATGAACTTACTCGATCGATCGTTTTTGAAGCAATTTAAAACATTCGCAGAGTGCGTTTTATCAGACCTTTACATATGATTAAACACTGCTGCTCATATGTTTTAAACATTAATGAAACTCAGGAATATCTTAATACTCAAAATTGCGGAAATATGAGAAAATAAAACGAAAACTGTTAAGGCCTGATTCCACGGGCGCTTTTTCTCGGCGAAATGCGAAATATTTCGCCTGTTTCTTTTGAATTGCGACTAGTCGAATAAATTATTTCTACTTGATTGCTCATAATTCAAAAGAAACAGGCGAAATATTTCGCATTTCGCCGAGAAAAAGCGCTCGTGGAATCAGGCCTTTAAAGGGAGAACTATTTTGTGGACATTACACCCGAACGGCATATGTTGATGTTACGGTTTCGTGAAACTGGGGCCTAAACATTGATTTATATTGTGTTTCCCGTGAGTTTTTAATACGATTGGTACAGTATATTGTAGAAAATAACGCAAAGCAATACTATACATAGCCGCCGCCAGAAACGAGCGACATAATGATTAGTACGCAACACTAAGTGATCACCCGTGCCTGAATCCCAATATTTATAGTAAATTGTATTTCTAATACAGCAATGACAATACGATTCCTGAGATGCGAAGATCGAATTCGCGGGTCCAACAAATGCTAGCAAACAAACTCAGTCTAAAATTGTGCTGTCTCGATGCCGACAAAACTTGTCCCTCAGAAATTCAAAATCACCAGCGAGATCGTAGTGAATTAGTTAACAAGAAGCGTGAAAAATTGCAAAATGCTCTGTGAAAATCCTTCGATGCGCGTTATAGACAATACAAATTCCTACATGCGAAGCTTGTTCCGGCAAGATGAGATTCTTACGGCTTTGAATGATATGAAAACGAAGAAATATAACTTCTCTTGTCCCTGTCTTGTTTTTTTTAAAGATAGTTAATTAAGAGCTTCAAAGACCTGGACTTCGTTAAGCTTCCAATAGCATGGCCATAACTGATAACTCGGTGAGATTTCGGTCAATTTCTTCTCCTAAATTACTGTTTTGAAGCTCGTTTCTTGCTTGTCTTTAATAACATGCATGCTTTTAATTCATATGCGTATGTTTTTACCGTTAAATACAGCGGAAATCTCGAGTTTTGGGCAATCCTAATGAAACCGAAGGCTAGGCGAAAGCCTCGACGAAAGCCACGGGAAATTGATAAACCTCCGGATCGTATATTACAAATTATAATATAATCATTCACTTGCCATTCACCGTATATGAGCTGTTCTGCAATCTGATTGGTTGAATTACTCGCCGTATATCAGCTCATATACGGCGAGTAGCGAAAAACAGGATGGCGGTCGAAAAACTACATGAGTTTTGCGGAGCAGGAAAAAGGAAAATATTCGCTTTGAGAAAGATATTAGTACAAGGAAAAACTCTCAAAAAAAATTGACAGGTTGGCAAAATACATTTATTACATAGAAATTAGTTTATAAATACAAGTTTTTTAAAGAATTAACACCGAAACAGCGAAAAAAAAAATGTTCATTGAGAATATAAATTGTTCGGAAAAGTTTGCAACGAAAGAGAAATGAATTTGCAGTCAACAAGCACTTATACTATACTACCAAACATCTGTAGGCCTATAATATATCTGAGCTTTTCTGTGAGATATACCGGTTCTAAAACCATTTCTTTCACTTCGTCTTCGAGTTGTAAAACAAAAGTATTTCAAATTATCAAGGCCAAGCGGTTTTTGGCCGAACAAATTGTGAAGACATTGTAACAGTGGATAATTAATTATTGCTTCAGTTAATGGCTATTAGACTATATTATAAAACAATTATACCATTCGCTCTCGTCGTATATTGCTATCAGCTCATATATACGACTCGAGCTCATGGTATAATTGTTAAATATTTCAGTTACTCATGCGCAACACTTGACACGCTGACATATGTACATATATATATATATATATATATATATATATATATATATATATATATATATATATATATATATATATATATATATATATATATATATATATATACAGACGGTACCGTTTCGGCCTTATGGGCCTCATCAGTGTAGTGCTGACGAGCAGGATGAAAGTAACTGCTATTTACAGTTACCTTTGATGCCTCACGATTGTGGGACATCAAAACCATGCCGTTAGTGAGGGAAAAGGGGTGTAAGAAATGTAAGAAAGCTATATATCTATATATCTATATATATCTGTATATATATATATATATATATATATATATATATATATATATATATATATATATATATATATATATATATATATATATATATATATATATATATATATATATAGATAGATAGATAGATAGATAGATAGATAAAGATAAAATAAACCTGGTTTACTTCATAAGATTTATTCACTACAAACTTGTTTCGTATGACAAGCAATGCTTGCCACACTCATCAGGTGAATTTAAATGTCGCGCTATGTTGTTGCCAAGGTTATATATACTATATAGCCTACATGTTTGACGTAAACGGAATGTTCAAGTATTAAATTACGTATAGATTACATATATATACAGATTATATTAAGTAATGTATATTGCTTAAGAGAAATTTGTTTCTATGTCTGCATTTCGACAAAAGTTCACTTCTTGAATTTAAAGAACAAAGTTCAGGGTGGTAGATAATGATGAATTTTTCATGTGTACAAATATGAGGTGTGATATGCGCCAAAATTCATATATTCAATTATGCAATTGGAAATTGCATTTATGAAGTTCAGTTATGCTATTATGATATTCGATATTATGTTATTCGAATTTCATTCGGCGTGAAACAGTCATTATTGAAATTTCATTCGGCGTGAAACAGTCATTCGGCATGGCACTCAGAAACCAAAATTCGACTTCCGGTTCGGCATGGCACTCAGAAACCAAAACTCGACTTCCGGTTTAGCGGGAAATTGTAATTCCAACAAGACAGAAATATAAGTGTTGTAGACGTATTGGAAACAACTGTGTTGAGGAACTTAGACATCGGCGACCAGTATGCCCATACGGCGCAAAAAGATTTCTAAAATTCCACAACACTCTTTCTGGATTTGATGTATTGACGGCAGTGCTGCCAGATGATGTACGTAGTAGCATGCGATTCGCTTTGAGAAATTACATTTGGACTCGCAACTTGTGCTGAAGAAGCATCATTTGATGATCCAGGATATTTTCTGATCAATCCTGTCGCTTCTTGCAACAAAGAAACAGCACGCTGTTGACTTAAATTACCTTCGCCCATGTTGAAATTACAACTCCCAGCGTGCTTTTCCCGCTAAATCGGAAGTCGAGTTTTGGTTTCTGAGTGCCATGCCGAATGACTCTTTCAATAATGACTGTTTCACGCCGAATGAAATTTCAATAATGACTGTTTCACGCCGAATGAAATTCGAATAACATAATATCGAATATCATAATAGCATAACTGAACTTCATAAATGCATTTCCAATGGCATAATTGAATATATGAATTTTGGCGGATATCACACCTCATATACAAAGACTGCAGCGTTTCGTTGTGTTGTTGTAGCTCTTGCATTGTTTAATAATACGCCAGTTTATGGAGTACTTGACCTTCGACTCTTTAAGTTGCCAGATGTATTTGCTCAGCTCTGTGGCATTTCTATATTTGCTTAATCTGAATGAGCTAGTGTGGCAATAATATCTGGATTTGAACTGTCCGTCAGTATGTCCGACATACGATTCCTTTTGATTCGTATCGCTTGGTATACTACGCTGGACGTTAGACATTTACCGGGCAGTGAACACGAGGACTTATTCCTGCAATTGCATTGTCTTGGTTTCGTGCTGCATGTTGACGCATCTGTTGAGGTGAGCTTATTTACTACAGATTTATTGTGCCCAGATATATACATATACATATACATATACATATATATATATATATATATATATATATATATATATATATATATATATATATATATATATATATATATATATAGGTTATCATATAAGGGATGAGGTGATATCAGTTTTATCGCTCTAGGGATGTTACTGTCATATTACTGAACAAATATGATTTTAGAAAATAAATAGACAATTCATATAAATAATATACAATTTAAGTCTTTCCTTTTGTATTATCGTTCTTGTTTCCTTCGATAAAACTGTCGACATCAACCAACACGAACCTCGAGTCGGCCATCTTTGTTTTGACAAGATGCGAAATTCAGCGGGACAAAAAACGATATCCGGGACAAAAGCCGATATCCGGGACGATATCGTTTTTATGTCCCGCTGCTTCCTACCTGATAAAGGTACAAGTATGTGATATATATATATACATATATATATATATATATATATATATATATATATATATATATATATATATATATATATATATATTATATAGGTTATCATATAAGGGATGAGGTGATATCAGTTTTATCGCTCTAGGGATGTTACTGTCATATTACTGAACAAATATGATTTTAGAAAATAAATAGACAATTCATATAAATAATATACAATTTAAGTCTTTCCTTTTGTATTATCGTTCTTGTTTCCTTCGATAAAACTGTCGACATCA